GACTTTCATTTTTCTGATGATGCCTTTTCCAATTTAAATGTCTTCTGGAAAAATGATACTACATTTTGTACTGCTTTAGAAGGATCAAAGTGATTTTGACTGCATGTTTCACTTGGAATGACCTGATCTTTTCATTGCATGGCAGGTTAATGTATTGAGTAAGATGCGTCATCCCAATTTAATCACTCTTATTGGAGCCTGTCCAGAGGCTTGGACTCTCATCTATGAGTATCTTCCGAATGGCAGTCTTGAAGATCGACTCTGCTGCAAGGGCAATTCTCCTCCTTTATCATGGCAGACTCGAATACGCATTGCCACTGAGTTATGCTCTGTCCTGGTCTTTCTCCATTCAGGCAAAGCTCATAGCATAGTTCATGGTGATCTAAAGCCTGCTAACATTCTACTTGATGCCAACTTTGTAAGCAAATTAAGTGACTTTGGGATATGTCGTCTCATTTCTCATTGTGAAAATTTAAGCAGCAATGCAACCCTATTTTGCAACACAGATCCTAAGGGCACTTTTGCATATATTGATCCTGAATTCCTTGCTACTGGGGAGCTCACACCAAAATCAGACGTTTACTCATTTGGGGTAATATTATTACGCTTGCTGACTGGGAGACCAGCTTTGGGGATAACAAAGGAAGTGCAGTATGCACTAGATACTGGAAAATTGAAAACCCTCCTAGATCCTCTAGCCGGTGACTGGCCCTTTGTGCAAGCTGAGCAGTTGGCTCACTTGGGATTGAGGTGTTGTGAGATGAACCGAAGAAGCCGTCCAGACCTTGGGACAGAGGTTCTGAGGGTTCTTGAGCCAATGAGGGCATCATGTGGAGGATCATCAGCATTTCATCTTGGTTCTGATGGGCGGTGCCAGCCTCCATCATATTTTATATGCCCAATTTTCCAGGCAAGCTTTCCTTCTCCTAGTTTGCATTTTTCAGAGTTTTTGGAACTTGAAAGTTCAAAGGAGAAGAAAGAAATGGTACTGAGGGGAAATGAGAGGAAACATGTGACGTATAAATAGTTTTCCAAAAGCTAAAGAACTTCAAAAAGTTTGTTGTTTTTTCTATAAAAGAAATAAAACGAGAGAGACTTTTGTTTTTATAACTAAAGGAGTTTTGTGGAGTGATTATTGAAAACATCTTCTATTTGGTTTTTCTTACATATAATATTTCAAAGTATACATGAGCAGAGGGAAATGGAGGTTAAAAAATTTCTTTATTTCCATTTTTACCTATTTATTTAAATCACTGACAGTAAGTAGGATATAATTTCCTCTGGTTCGTATTATTTCCCTCCCTTCAGTCTCAAATGCATCAATGTCATCTAAAGAAGGCTTTGCGCATAAAACTTAGCTCAGATTAGCATAGAAAAATAAAAATATTCCTTGAACCTGCACTGCAGGAAGTCATGCAAGATCCACATATAGCTGCAGATGGTTTTACTTACGAAGCAGAAGCATTGAGAGGATGGTTAGACAGTGGCCACGACACTTCACCCATGACAAACATTAAGCTTGCACACTGCAATATTGTCCCCAACCATGCTCTGCGTTCTGCCATTCAGGAATGGCTCCAGCAACATATTTGAGTAACATTTTCTTTCTACTCTGATATATTTGCATATAGTCAGTTTTTTTTTTCTTTTTCAAAAAGGTAGATACTGAAGAAGATAAACTGTGTTCAGATATATAGACATATAGTTTTCTCCCTTTGGCTTCATATACATGTGTATGCATATACATAAACTGTATATGCATACACACACACATATATATATATATATAATTTGCACTCAAGAGTTCAATATTATTTTGACGTAACTCATTGTACAGAGGATTGTATATTTGAACATAGCTGTTCAAAATATTTTTTAAATATAATTTAATTCTTAAAATTATAACTATTTAAATTTATAAAATCAATTTTAATTAATCTTTTTTATATTTAAATTTATAAAATTATTTAAATTTATCATTTTAAATACAATTATGACAACTTTGAAATTGACTTAAGATTTTCCAAATGATAGTGTGTGTGTATATAATACTTGTTTATAAAAATTAATCATTGATGGAGTTACGAATTTCCTACCATTAATAATTAAAAAGACTTCAATTTATAAACCCATGAGCATGAGGCAGATTTAATTAAAAATCTATTTTAATTTGAATTATTCATGAAATTTTATTGGTCAATATGCGGTTATTGTGTTTTAAGATAAATACATTCTAATTTTATGGAGAAATATGTAAAGTCATTATACAACAAAATGTTTTGATAAATTTCAGTTTTTATTTTTAGAAAAATATTAAGGAAGGTGTAGGGGCATCCTCCTCAGAGTAGAGGGCCTCATAGAATCCATTAGCAGCCCGATTGAGGCCGACCACACTCTGTTCTTGATAAATAATTCTAATTATTGTGTTTTTGTCATCTTTACTATTCGTATTTCTATACCCTTTATTAATCCAAGTCATTTCGGCTTATTTGGAACAGAAAACGTTCCTCCCTCCAGTGATAAGGTCAGAGAGAGAGCCTTGAGGTTTTCTGAAAAAGAGAGTTTCTGTTCTGAAATATTTTTTGTATACCAAGAATCTTTCTTTGGAGATGATTTTTGGTTTGTGTAATGTGATCAATTTGTGTTAATAATTCATATGTTAGCTTTACTTATAAATTGAGAAATCTTCTTACCTATGTGACCAATATTAGAATAAGATTTAATAGACAAAGTAACTGAAATCATGATGTGTTTTCAATAACTTTAAACATAAAATGATTGCCTTTATTAGAATGAGAACGTTTCATAAAAAAAATAATATTGATAAGTAGTGATTGGAGTAATATTTAGCAAGATTGTTGATTTTGCCTTGTTGAAATGTGAGTTTATTTTAGATAGAAAAAGACATTGTTGAGGTGAACTTTTGTATCACCTCTAAAACCATGTAAGGGGCCTTTAAATCTCAATCAAAAAGGTCAAATTATTTAACTAAAGAGTGGAAGTTAGGGGTCCAACAGTGAGAGTCATTGATTGAAGCCCACAATTTAGTTAGAAAGAGTGCCCAATATCATTAAAGTTATCAACTATTATGTGGGGCTAGAAGCGATAGTTCTCATGTGCTCCCAAAAACTTTTATATTTAATTTCATGAGAACTAATATATCCAGTGTTAAAGTACCATGTAGCAGCACTGTAAGTACTTTTTATAATGGATACTTTGCTTGAATGTGTGAATAATTTGGAGGTTTAATATAATGTCATAAAATCTAAATTTCTCGAAAGAATGTCTTCTATTTTTATATGAACAAATTTTCAAAGAATAAACTTGTTAATATTGTTCATAGTGGTAGTTGCAATACAAGGTTCTAGAATAATTAAAATATCTTATCTGTGAATACAAATTAGTTTTTTTGCATGAATCCTAAAAAAACTATTCGCAACCTTCAACAATTTCAGAAAATAATATTAATACTCATTACAAAAATAAAATACATATGATAAGTTTAATAGACCAATTAATATATGAAATGATTTAAAAAATCAAGTAAAAAATTATCCAGTATGAGCTGGCTGGACTAGAGACTGCTTCCCGTCAGCCTCAGGAGAACCACGTTCATGGTGATTCTATAGGCCATAATCAAGGTGGTTGGGCTTATGCTTGTGAAGCACTTGGTTCACGTGCTTAAACCAATATAGGGTAGATAATGGTTGGGCCTTCTTTTGTTTTGGGTCTTTAATAATTGTTTTGAGCTTGAACTTAACTGAAAATGTTCTTTTAATATTGGAATGGACAATATTATTTTATTTTGGGTCTTTAATAACTGCTTTAGGTATGAACTTAACTGAATGAGTTTTTTAATATTTAGTTTGAACAAGTACGGAAGCTAGGACCAGACCCAGTCACAGGCCCCAAACCAGACCAATGCCCAGGTCCAAGCCCATAACAAAACACAAGACCATGAACCAGGCCCAGAATCATATCCAAGCCCCATGACTTAGGCCTAGAACAAGACCCATGCCAAAAATTAGAACTAGGCCCTGGTCCAGGCCCAAACCCAAAACCAGGACCATACCCAGGCCCAGAAACAGAACAAGGCCCATGCTCTAGCCTAGGCCCAAACTTAGCACATACCTAGATCAAGTCCTAGCCTAGATCTAGACCCAAGCCCATGACAAGACCTAAGCTTAGACTCAAGCAGAGACCCAGATCCAGCCTCGGCCCAGACCCATATCCTGATCTAGGATCAGGCCCAGACTTAGACACATATCTAAGCCCAAGCCCAAGCCCAAACCATACATAGGCACATACCTAGGCCCAGACTAGCCCATACCCAGACCTAGACCTGGACCTAGACACAGACTTGGGCCAAGATCCATATCCAGATCAAGGCCCAAGCCCAAACCCATACCTTAGCCCAGACAGACCCATACCCAAGCCTAAGTAGGCACAAACCTAGACCTAAATCCATATATAGGCCTAGACATGCCTAGACCTAGGCCCGACCCAGACCTAGACCCCAATCTGGGTTTAGGCCCAAGCCGATACTGAGATCCAAACAAGCACAGATAGGCCTAAACTCAAGCTTAGGCCCAGACTCAAACTCAATCCAGGCCCAGACCTAGACTCAGACCCAAGCCTAGCTCCAAAACCAGGCCCATGTCTAGACCAGACCCAAGCCCAGACCTAGGCCCAGACTCAGATATA